TTTGCTCATTCACTCATTCAGCTCATTATTTGCATCTTCGTGCTGTATGTGAGTGCTTCGTGCAACGTCCTTCTTGGCTGGTCTGAGAGCTTGTGGTGAAGCAAGCACATGTGAAAACAGTGTTTGACAAGGAGTAGTTGCAGTGCTTGTTTTTTCTCGGGAGCGCAGTAATAAATGCGTTGGCCATTTCATCTGGTTGCTGCATATGACAGTGAAAAATCGGATGACTCGTACAGCTCATTTGGCAGCAGAGCAAAGTGGTGGGTTAACCCCTTCTTCACAGCGTTCTTTAGATCCACCTCTGCTATTGTGGATCATGTGAGAACAACTGTGGCTTGCTGGCCCATTCAGCAGAGCACCACTTCAACCTCTGTTGGAGCAACATAATGTTTGGGGGCGAATGAGTAGTCCTTGCATTGCAGCAGCCATATAGGCCACGAGCTGGGTATTTCGAAGTCAAACTCTCACAGTGTACGTGGCTGGGCCATGCCTTTTAGAAACGGAGCAGCCGATGCAGTAAACATCCTAGCGAAGCCCTCAACACTGATAGCCATGGCGAAGTGGCAGTGGCAAGGTTGAGCCATGAGTGAAGGCTGGATCTATAGGCATTGAAAAATTGGGTTTTCAGCGCCAAAACTAGGCATGCAAAACAGCGTTTTAGGTCCCCAAAATTATAAATACAGGCACAGTAAATTTTTATCAAAATTCAGATTTTCAATGAAAAACGTGCATGACCGGTGCATACGACATGAAGGCAAAAAGAAATGTTTTAGCTTATGATGGTGCAAAGGCACTAAAAGTTTTGCACAGCCACGTACCTTTTTCCTGGACGGTTTGCAAAACACAGTTCCTAGTTTCATTGTCCAGCATGGTGAGGTAATTGTACACCATTGAATAAGCACACTAGCGTGTCTTTTTTCTTTTTTGTGTGGCGTAGAAAGGCAGTACAAAAGTAAATAGCAACACCACTAATGGGCGAGAAGGGTCTTTTTGCCTCGTATTAACGGGTCTAATCGCGCAGGGTCAAAATATCTTCTGTCTGTGAACACCTTAGAGAAAGGGCCCTTCATCCGGTTTCAGCATATCAAGCAGGCAAGCGAAATGCATGAGCTCTTCTTCCAAGATTTGCAATGCTACGTGGCTTGAAAAGAGGTGAAATGTCGGACTGAACACTGCTCGCCCTTATCTCACGGGCGCGTTCCCCAGCATGGCGCATGTCATGTACAACAAGGAATGGTCCTGCGTACGTCAAAGTAGTACGTGACACTGCAAGAATCATTCGAGGTGACATGCATACTTGGCTAGTGTCCCGGATTGGCTGGGAGACTCCCGGATTTCGACCGTTTCTTCCATTTGTATGGTTGTCATGAAAATCTCCAGGAAATTGAAATTTCTGTGCGTGATCTGGCCGCATTGACTAAGAAGCAGCTCAATCCGCTCCTGGCTTTCAGAACCTACCACATTTTATTATAAATGAATTTAAGAAGCATTCCGCTAAATAAACAGTAGAACCTCAGTGATCCGAAACTGTGGCAGGTACCAATTCGTGAAATTCCCTAGCCGAATTTTATTATGTTCATTGGGCCTAAATTCGAAGGTTTCGAACAAATTTTCTAATCGCGGCGGGTGATACAAACTTTAGTTTGAAAACCGTCGATCGAAAGCTGAGAGCAACGTACTCGAAGCTTCGGATTACGAAGTACGCGTGCGACCAACGTATGCGCTGTCTTCTACAGTGCATGTGATTGTCGTTGCCACACTCGCTGAGGAAGAAACCGCAGTCGTTCTTGACACGAGCATGTATGGTGAGGAGGTGACAGAACCCCGAAAATGTGCGTGCGTCCAACACTCAACCAGTATAAGCAACGCTGCTTTCTGCAAACTCTCGGACAAAACCACAGCAGTTGCGGTTATAGATAGCATAAAACGACTTAGTTTTAAAGGCGCGTGCACAGCCATGCGCATGGGGATTGAAATAGGAAATACCATTTGCCGCAACCGCCGCGATCATAACCACGGTCGCGGCGATGCGATAGCTATCTATGAGATTCGAAGGCGCGCGGCTAATGCAGCGGTAGATAAAATGCAGTAAATACGTAAAAAAAGATGGCCAGACGTGTTTTGGCGTTCCTGTCAAAAGAATCTAGTAGTGAGCAAGGCTTTGACCTGTGCTTTTGTGGCCTGTCCGCTCACGTGTGTCCCAGGAAGACATACGCGAGTTGTTTTGACGGAAACAGATTATGCTAGTTGTGTTGATCCTTTGAGACTCTCACCTTTGTGGAAAACCCTACCCTCGTGTGTTTGGCCACACCAAGCCACTATAAGACCGCAATGCTAATAGCGCTTGTGATTGATACTTCCCACCCACCCCCTCTTGTTTTTTGCTATGTTTCTTTTGTTTGTTTCTTATTAGGCTTTTTGTGCTGAAAAAAATAGAGGAAATAATTCATTGCGACCTCCCTTCTCCCCCCCCTCTTGTTGCAGATATCTCCCAGATTCAGAATACTTGAACTTGGCAGGTATGGACAGGTGTAATTTGGGCAATCTTTTGCTTGAATAAGGTTGGTATGAAGGTCGATAGAAGCATTAAAAGATACAAACGAAATCTGTGTACCTCATTCACTTTTTTTACTTGATATTGAGCAAGATGTAACTAAGCTGCTTGCATTTCATTTGGATTGGTAATCTCTCCGTACTCACATCATGACAGTGCCAGTCCTGACATCGCTTGGCATGTTTCTTGGTGCATCGTCTTCAAGAGCAGCTCCAGTGGTGCGCATTGTGAAATGTGGAAGCGATGCATGTTCTATGCCAGCCTCCCCAAACGTGTGTGCACAGAGGGATCCATCCCTCAGAAACAGGCAGTACAATACAGAGAAACATTCCTTGCGTGCACAGCCTGGCTTAGGCGTTTCATGGGAAAGTAACTTTGTGTGCACTTGACGTGTTGATGTGTCTGTGTCCTTTGATCTTCTGGCTTCGAATTACTCTAATATCCAAGAAGGCAGGGAAGAGATTTGGCTCGCGAAATTACAGAGGAAGTGTGGTGAAGATTTAAAGCTCTCCTCCTTGCATCATGCTTTCGAGGCTCGTAATGAATCAATGAAAGAATTCTCGTGGTACAAAGCTTTGCATTAGTTACTCAACAACTTCCAGTGTCTAAGCTAAATTTGTCATGTGTGACCTGGTGAAGTGCTCTTTAACAGGTTAGACATACAAAACAAAAAGCACATGGACATCTGTAATTTTTTTTTCTACGCCTTTTTTTCCTGCGATGACACTCCACGGTTTTGATTTAGTTCTCCATTGTCTTGTGGCAGCACAGAACCACCTCCTGTTCTCTATGTGTGCAAGCAGACGCTGGGGACATGTCGAGCAGACGACGCGTTGTGGATGAATACATGTTTAGAGGCAAATTGGCCTTCCTATTGGTTAAGGGGCCTTGTAGCCGTGACAGTGCTGTAAGGAACTTCCGAGATGAAGTATAGATTGTACCTTACAAAGTTTCAAAAGCTCACTTTGGCCAGGTAACATGAATACTGATCTCCAACTGTGCTCGAAAGCAATATTTAACGTTGAATACTTTTCATACACTCACCTATTTCAAAATTGGGTATTTGTAGGCACTTCTAGAAATTTAACATCCAAAATAAGCATTTATAGGCACAAAAAATGCTGAAAAACCCTTGGTAACCTCTGATTCGTACTCATATATTGAAGTGGCACTATAGGAATGCAAGGAACAGAATTGGCATTTGCCTAAAATCCGGTCTTGTCATGAGACTGCAAGCACGAAATCAGTGTACACGGATCCCGCCCACAGAGAAGGGTGTAACAGCCGAATGTTCAGGTGGGCATGTCCATTCATAGCCCTTATACAGCTAGACATGCTGTGCTGCCATCCAGCGGTTTTTCCGTTCACTACAGCCTTAACGATCTTAAGGCACAAAAAAAACGCGAGAGAAGCTTATAAGCTCGTTAAGAATGAACCAACAAGTCGCTTTGCTCACTACAGCCTCGTTTCTATATTTTCCCGTAGACAAGATTAGACCACTACTACCCTTGTCTTCAGGCTGTATTGTAATGTCCGTTTTTTTTTTTTTTTGTAATACCCTTGCTGTGGTATCTCTGCAATGTCACTACTGCATTTTGGGTGTGTGACCGGAGTTATGGAGGTTTCTGCCATGTTCATCAATTTATTTAGGGTGCAGTTCTTAGCGTGAATTCTGTTTTGTAGTTGTTTGATTAGCAATTTATTCGCTCTGAACTTTACAAATTAGGTAAATTCCTCAATTTCCTCTCCAGATGTGTTGGTTTTGATGTAAGCTGATTTCTAGTGTTTTTTTTTTATAAGATTTATTGATGACAGAGGCACTTCCTGAAAAATCTTTCCATCTTTCTGATGAGCTAGAGGTAGCACATCTGATTTTGCTTTTGAGACCTTCCAGAATTTTCTACTCTTCAATGTAGCCAGAGTATTTCACGAAATGAATTCCATAGTTCATTTATTTTCCTGCATGCTCATGTGATTGATGGAAAAAACAAGAATTACTTTGCCTCGCTTGTGTTTGTTAGTCATTTGTATTGAGAACACTTCCGGGGTGATGTTTTCTCACTACTGTTTGTGTTAGGAATGAGGTCTGGCCTAATGTCTGTATGGGCATCTGTTTGTTTAAAAGCACATGTCTGCATGAAAGAAGTTCATGTGTTTGTCACCTTTGCTTGCTGTATGTTTTTTGTTTTGTGGTTCGAGTTTTACATCCACTGTTTTAGTAGACAATTTTTTGTTTCGACTGTGGTGGGACATGTGTTGCAGCTATTGGTTCTAGTATGTTGTGCATCTTGTGCTAAAGTGCATCTTTACGATTCATTCCTGTTGTTCTTGACTTTTTACGCAATGTTTGCAATCATTTGCCATATAATGATTTGCCATGTAAACTCTATGTTCCTTATTTACCATGCAATGTTTGACTGTATTCTAAGAAAATATATTTTTGCAGGCCATGCGTCAGTGGTGGGACATGAAGGCAGAGCATTTGGATGTGGTTCTCTTCTTCAAGGTAAGTCTTCTGTTGTCAACTTTGTTGTTGTTAATGCTACCTACTTCCAGTTGTACGCTAATTTGTGCTTCAATAAACTTGATAAGCCCAATCATTGTGCCTGATAAGGTAAACCTAAAGAGATGTGTTTGTTCGAAAGGCATTCGACAGAGCTAGTTGGTTCGTAGCTAATGCTGGCTTTAACAGCAAAGAAATAACCTAATTCAGGAGAAGTAACCTTATAATTTAAGGCTTACATAAAACTAGAGATGAGCCAACACGACTTTAAACGGAAAGTAAAAGATCAAATAGTTAATGAAAAGCTAGGAATCAACGTAATCAGCATTGCAAGGTGCCACAGGCTTGGAAGAAAAAGTGAAAATAAAACTCGTTTAGTGGTTCTCAAATTTCTTGACTGCCGAAAAAAGACTGCCCTGCTTAAAGCATCGCACAAATTAAAAGGTGAATTGTCACTTATCTGAAGACTTTTCTAAGCAGGTACGGGCTTTTATGGGACTCGAAGGCTTTTATGGGAGAGGGCTAAGAAAGAATGGCAAAGATACATGAAGGTATGGCTGATTTGAGAGCATTGGCAAGTATAGCATTGGCAGGATTTCGTTTAGTTGGGATGATGAAAAATCACATTATAAGCTACAAAAATCAGGTCCTCATAAATGACGGTCTGAAGCCAAGCGTAGCCCTTCGGAATACTTAATGTAAATTGTAGGAGCGTGTCTGAAGCAGCATACAGAGTTAAAATTTTTTTGTCGTGTAATCCAGCTATAGTTATGCTTACAGAAACATGGTTAAGTGAAGAAATATACTATATGAGTTCATTCTATTCGGGTATGGCGCATTCAGGAGGGACAGGGTTAGCAGGCGTGGTGGTGTAGCCATCCTATTCAAGGGGAGCATTAAGCTGGTAAAAATCTTGTTTTAGTAGATACTGAATGCATTTTTATAAGACATAGCATGAAAATGTTAGATATACATTAAAACCTAATTAATTCGAAATAGTGGGACCGGGATAAATTTTTGAATTAAGCGGGTTTTCGAATTAACAGAACATACAAGAAGGGGAATGCAAGAAACTTGTAATAATTCAAACTAATCAGAACTGGTTGTTTGCTGTGGTGGTTTGTTTGTGGCTCCAAGGGTTGGGTTGTGTAGCAATGCCAGCTGGGTCGCAATTTAGCCGCAAACAGGGGGGAGCGCCGAGCCTCGTTGCTGCCCCCGAAAAAAAAAAAAAAGAAAACATGCTCAATTGAAATGCACGCCTGCAAACAACAAGACATCTTCACTACAACACAGCAGTGACACACGCGTAGCATGTTGTTTGCACGTTTCTGTGACGATTCGCCCAATCTTTCTAGTAAAAGAACGAATTTGATAATGGACAGTGTGACGAAATTCACAATGTGTTTTGGCGAAAAAACATGATCATTGGAGCTATCAAATCGACTTTTCGAAATAGGTGTTGCAGGAAAAAGCTCCACCAGCAGTATAAGTTCAAAAATTGCTGAAGCAACCGGCACTCAGAGGTTCGCATACACCACGAGATCCGCCAGACTGACCTTTATTACTTTCTTTATATTCCCAAAAAGAATGGGTTAATCATGACGTGCTGATGTTTCGAGAAGCATGCAATATGCTTATCACTCATGATCGCTGTGTTGCAGTGAAGCATGTCTTGTTTTCCGCAGGCGCACATTTCAGTTGATCACGCTCTTTTTTGCAATTTTATTTTTTGAGCTGGAAATATTAAAGTTGGCGTGCTTCAGCTGCCGCTCATTAATATCACTACAGTGAATTGCTTGGTGGCTCTTAAGGGCTGCCGTTGCTGCGGTTTTGCGGCGAAATCGGGATCAGGAATCGGCACACTGCACCCAGAGTTTTCGAATTAACCAAACTGGTGCTGACCGCAGCTTTGAATTATTTGCTCAAATCTACATTCCAAAATATGGGACCGCGGAAATACTTCGAATTAAGTGGCATGTTGAAATAACAGAGTTCAAACTAATGAAATTTTACTGTACTATAGTTTCTCTGTACAGACCTTCTAGTTCAGGTGTTTCCGTTATGGATTCTTGAAAGCTGTACATGAGCGAGCATATAAAACCTAGTGACCTTATTATGCTTTCAGGAGATTTTAGCCAAACGTTGATTGGGAAGTGTTGCTCAAAAATGATGACAGTTCAGGAGAAGCCATGTTCGACACTTTCTTTTTATTTAATTTATTCAAATTAGTTGATACATATACCAGAATACTGTGATTACGAATCAATTTTGGATCTTTTCTTTAAGTGGGACCTTAAGTAGTCAATTGGTGTGCGTTGTATTTCCCGGTATATCGGATCACGAGTCTTAATAATAAATACTATGAAACGGGAAAGACAATTGTAACTCTGCCTGTTTCTGCAACTTCTCTAAAGCTGATGATGTTTCCATGACAGACGCGCTTTCACTTAGATTCTTTTCGGAAAACTTTGTAGATGTGCAAGAATTGTGGAATCTGCATTGAAAAACATGTACCAGGTATTGTTAAAAAAAAAGTATGTATGAAGTACTATGTACTTAGTACATAGTAGTACTTGGTATATATATGTATCATACATCTCCTGGTTACTCGGGAGATGCTGAGATAGAAAAGACAGCTGAGGAGATTTAAAAAGAAAAGGATAAAAACAAGCTGTGTATCACCGAATGAACGACAGGAATTTCTCTCTTTCTCAACTATCTACTAATAAATAGTGTTACTATATGGAATCGTTGCCGAAATTTATCACGGTGTCTCGAAGCTCTGACGGGAAGTGTCACTGAAACATCACCAATGTGATGTAATTGAAGTTGATTGTTGTAATGCAGGTTCTTTTTCTGTGCTTGTTTTAGCTCTCTGTGACTGAGCCACCGAATAGCTTTTTAAAGGACAAAGCCGTATGATTATCTAATAACACAAAATGTTTAGAACAGTTGAAGTGACGAAACCCTCAAAAAATAAGTACTTAGTAAAAAGCTCACTGCACAAGATGAAACACTTCTAATGGCTCACGAAACTAAAGCTCTAGACCTTGATCTATGGAATATAGTGCTGACGCGGCTGAGGGGTCTAAGTTGCGAGTTCAGTCTCACCAACAAGCAGAGGCTTGACATTGGATTGGGTGTGGGTTGGCTGGTTATGGCATAGAAGCTCTGGCAGCTGGGCAATGTGTCGAGAACCTCGCCAGGCAGCTGCACCTACAGCTCGGGCTCATAGCCCAACTACTGTTGCTTGCCCATCGGAGTTCGCGTATAATGGCTCGCGTCTTACCACAGAGGAACGTGACGGCCCCAGCCGGTTGAAGTCTTCGAGGTTCGAGTTCGAAACACGACGACCCATCTTCAGTGCCCGGTCTGGTGACAACCTTCTTGTTGCCACGTCCTCTTCGAACTCCCTTGCTCTTCTGTGGCTCAGAATCTTTTCTTCAACTCTGGCTCACTTGTCCCATTCTAATTGGGGATGCTGAAGTTTAGTGGTGCTTAGCTCTGGAACCTCCATGCTGAATTCCTATTAGCCCACTTGCACATCGATACCTTGCACCGCACGGTTTCGTGCTCAAGATATCTTGGACATCGTCATCTTCGTTTTGGCCACCGCTCACGCACAGCTTTATGTTATGTTGCAACTTCAACTTTATGTTATGTTGGCAACTTCAAATGCACAAACTTTGAATAGTGCGCACCACTCATTATAATGGTATTCACTTGGAGGATGAAGAAAAAATTGCTAACTCATTTAATGAGCATTTCCTCTCCATTTTTGCCTGTCATGATGGTGTGTTACCTATTTTAGAGAACTCTTTACACACACTCCGTATCTGATGGGTTAATAAGTGAACAGGGTATCTTATACATGCTTTTAAAACTTGATGAAAAGGAAAGTTCGTGCTCTCACGATATACCGAATGTTTTCCTAAATAAGTATGCCGAGTGGATATCAAAATACTTCCACGTTGTTTTTGTGTTCATTAGAAAAAGACCATCTCTCAAATGACTGGAGTGATGCTTGAGTGATATCACTTCATGAAAGCCGTGCCAAACAGTTTATAAAGAGTGACCGACCAATATCTTTAATGTCTAGCAGCTGCAAAATAATAGAGCACATTACACATAAACATATCATGGAATTTTTAAATGCAGACAAAATCTTGACAGATTGCTAGCATGGATTTCAGAAAGAGTACTCAACTTATACACAGCTAGTTGCTACAATTAATGAGTTTGAGTGTCAACACTAACAATTCCAAGTTTAATTCACATAAATTTCCAATAAAGCGGCTGGGGGGATAGCCACCATGGTAGCTTTGTATGCTACATTGGCTGAGTCACAGTTAAGGTCGTCTTTAATTTCGTACACATAGTCTGAACAGGAGGCTTCGGCCGTATCTGTGGTCACCATGTGTGTGCACACCCTGCAGCAAGGTTTCCCGCATGGTCTACAGCCCTGATGGTGGTCAGATTTGTGTGTTTTTGCCTTGACCAGGAAGTCTCTCAGGTTTTTATTTCTTTGGTAAACCACCTCGGGCGGAGTCTGAAAAATGGCAGAAAGGCGACTACTCTGTTTAAGTATGTTGAAGTGGCGGCTTAGTATAGAATTCACCCAAGGGGCGGCAGCGGAGTGTGTGAGCGTTAAATTTGCCCCCTGAATTTATATTTTTATTTCCGCCTTTTTCTCCCATTGTTGATTCTCGGTCCAAAGAGCGAGCGCACTCAATTGCATTGTCAATTATTTTTTCGGGGTACTTTTGACACAAGAAGGCTGCTCTCAATTCCTGTGCGTGGGTGTCAAATTGCGTGATTTCAGAGCAAATTCTTCTGTATTCGTAGGCTTGAGAGTAATGAACACCTGTTTTGCAGTGATGGGGGTGGCTGCTCTGGAAATGCAGATACTGTTGGCGGTCAGTTGGTTTTTTATACAGGGAAGTAGATATGGTGGTGCCACTGAGTGATACAGTGACATCCAGGAAGTGAACACTCTTCTGCGA